AACCCCAACTCCCACTGGAAAAACTGGAACTAGCTCCACCTCTCTTAAAGCTTTGAGTCTTGTGAGGTCCCAAAGATGATTAACCTTTACCTTTATCATCTTTCTTCTGATTTCCATCATTTTCTTCCTCTTCACTCTCACTAGGCATATTCTCTGAATCTTCAGTTCGTAGCAAAATCTCATAAAACTCTTGGTAAGTAGCACAGGAAGTTGTGGTCGCCATAGAACGCCACTTCTTTCGAGTACCCAACCTAAAACAACAGAGCATCTCAACTGGATTAGCAGCAACCTCCGGGTGATAGCGAGATAAATCAGTAAACCTTCTATAATACTCATTAGCTGTCATTTTTCCCTGCTTTAGGTGCTTGAATTCTTGCTTCTTGCGATCTATATATTCTAGAGGAATGAATCTCTTCTGAAATAACTGCTTAAAAACTTCCCAATTGGCAGCTTCTTCTGGGGACAACTGATAAGACTCATGTCTCTACCAGGATGTAGGCCGCTCACCTAAAAACCAAGTAGTCGTCTCAACCCACCTATCCTCCGGAAGATTTCCTGTCTATGCATCAAACGAAAAGTCTTCTCAAGATGATTAATCCATTGCTCTACTCCCTCATGTCCTTCATTACGCATGAAATTACTCAACTTCAAATTATACACAGTCTCCAGATGAGTCCTTTGGGGAGGGCGAAATGAAGACCGAATAGCATTAGCTATAGCTTCCACTAACTGAGCTATATTAGGGAAACCAAACTCAGTTGAATGACGTGGCTCTCTACGAGGCGGCATAGTTCTGAAAGAAGACACCAAAATAATTAGAACATTCACAAGATATGCAGGATTGCCAAACCTAGGCTTTGATACCAAACTGACACACCCCGACCTAGATCGAGGCATGCTGGCCATCACTTGAGGGTGACGTAGCCATGTGCACAGTGCAAAAGCAATATTAATATAAGAAATGTGAATAAACAAAAAAAAAACAAACCAACTAGAGCATTAGATAAGATAAGGTGCAAGTGCGATATTAAGTGTGATTGCACAACCAGAGCACAAGTAGCCTAAGTGCAGTCCAACAAGATGAATACAAATTATACAACACCTAAAGGTGATCCTACATTGGTGATAATCTGTTAGAACCTCCATTAGCACTCCTACCTAAAACCTGGAGGGGCGCAAAACAGAAAGTGTGAGTGGGCAAAAACAAAGTTTTCCAAAACCATTTCAACATCAAAGATAGTAACCTCTCGCCGTAAAACCTGTATAATTTCCCAGAAAATAGAATATAAACATATCTCAAAACCATGCTCAGAATAGTAATATTCAAAAGTATGCCATGCCAAATATCTCAATAACTGAATAAGTAACTCAGGTGAATTAACTCATGAGAAATAACATATCAGCCGAATCCACCTAAAGTGGCATGTACGGCTGAATCTATAGCTCAACAAGTATGCCTGCACACGAGTCAGAACCACATAAAGTTGTCTGTACAACATGACTGGATGTAAATATATACACTATAGTGCTATGATCACGTGAAGACTGAGAATAATCGCGGGTCACCTACGAGTTAAAACCACCTATAATGGTTTGTATAACAGAACTGTGCACCTAACTTGGATCTAAGGTGAGCATATGGTACAGGAGGTGAACATCACGTGAAGGATTATGCCCTAACCACGAGCGGGAGCACTAACACCGGGGTGCAGGTTAATGAGCTCTCAACACATTTCACATAATCATCAATTCACATAAACAATCTACAACTCACCTGGTACTTACCTAAGCGTCCACAGCGTCAAATCACATTTATGCATACCATACAAATTCATAGCCTAAGCATAAATCAATAGGCATGACATTTCAAAACATAATTTCATTTAAACACATTTTCTGGGAAAAATACCAAGTATATAAGTATATACTGAAAACCAACTACTCACTGATATGTGGAAGGGTCGTAGCCCTCGAATCTCGCTTGATTACGCTAGTCCTCTAGATAGGTCTCACCTATATGCAAAACAACTATATAAATGTTATTTTAAAGCACATAACCAAAACTAGGTACTAACTTCTCATACATTGCTCAATTTGGTGTTTGAATATACCAACGTGATCTACTCAACCTCACCAACATCCCCATATTTTTAGAAAAAAAAATCCGAACACCCGCGCACCCTCATGCGCCGGCCAAGGCACTACCACACGCACGACCACGTGCAAGTACATGCCTAGCACACCAATCGGAACAGTTAACGACATCATGGAATATTTCGTTAAAAAATCAGCATATGTCGTTAAATATACCTGATGCCGTCAGTATATTCCATCAAAATTGATGAAGTATTCTTCTTCTTCTTCCTTGGCTCGCCTGAGTCCAGCGTCGACCACTGCTGCTATCGCCGGATTTTGGAAAATTTTCAAATCTTCTTCATTTCTCATCCAAAATTCATGAAATTTATACCAAAATGAAGCTTAGGATGAGAAGAACACATTCTTACCACTCTAAGGTCCTAAAACCAACAGAATCTCGTTGGAAAAATTCAAGGAAACCGGCTAAACCTTGCAACTAGTCAAACCCGAGCTTCCCAACGTCCAAAACCTTTCAAAATCCTTCCCTAAGCTTCGTGAAGCAGTCCTAAGGCTCCCTAAGACCTTAAAACTCAATGAAATCTTCGCGATCACGACTAAGCTACTGTGCATCTCTTCGGGGGTTTCTAGGTTCTTGAGCTTCCGAGGTCTTCACGTTCAACCAAAACTATAGCTCGACTCCTAAGCTTGTAAGGAACAAGAAAACAACATCTACATCCTCAATCCGTGCATAAAAGAGCTGGATGAAAGCTTGACCGTACGGTTGTATGAAAATGGAAGAAAACTCGAGAGGGAAGGAGAGAGAAACGGTCAACATGAGTGGTATGGGTGTGTGTGTGGTCCAGACTGGGCTACCACCTAAAAACAAAGAAAACCCTAGTTCTAATTAGGTCCGAACAATTAGAACTTAACATATTTGGTCCACAACCAAAGTGCATGTCACACAACACCATCTAACGTCCAAGGGTATATAAGTCATTTCACACCATCAATAAAAAATTTCGGGACGGGCTGTCACAATTTTCAGCAAATCCAGAAGGAATAATACTTGCATTCCCCCACCCGGGGAATGTACATATTCCACCATTTGTGAATAACGCATCTTCGTTGTATAATTTTAAAGGGTAAAAGACTGTTTACTACCCTCATGTTTTGTGGTTTTCAACATATAGTACATTAAGTTTTTTTCATCTCAGATTCATACCTAAAGTGTAAATTTTGGGACAGTCTCATACATCCGTTAGTCAAACTGTTAAATATGCCGTTAATTATGACGTGGCATCATAACTGGGTGCCACGTGTCATCCACGTTTTTTTTTCTTTTCTCTTTTTTTTCTTTTCTTCTTTCTTCTTCTTCCTTCTTCTTCTTCCTTCTTCTGCAACTTTTTTTTTCTTCCTCCTTCTCCTTCTTCCTTCCTCCTTCTTCTCCTTCTTCCTTCTTTTTCTTCTTCTTCTTCCTCCAAATCTGGGGAATTTTTTTTTTTCTTTTTTCTTCTTTCTTCTTCTTCCTCCTTCTTCCTCTTTCTTCTTCTTCTTCTTCTTCTTCCTCCAACTGCAACATTTTTTTTTCTTCCTCCTTCTCCTTCTTCCTTCCTCCTTCTTCCTTCCCCTTCTTCTTCTTCTTCCTTCTTCTTCCTCCGAATCTGGGGAAGATGAAGGTTTTTTTGTTTTTTCTTCCTTCTTCTTCCTCCTTCTTCCTCTCCTTCTTCCTTCCCCTTCTTCTCCTTCTTCCTTCTTCCTTCTTCTTCATCTTCCTCAAAAAAAAAAAAAAAAAACCTTCATCTTCCCTAGATTCGAGGAAGAAGAAGGAAGAAGAATGAAGAAGGAGAAGAAGGGGATGGAAGAAGGAGAAGAAGGAGGGAAAAGGAGGAAGAAGAAGAAAAAAAAAGAAAAAAAAACAAAACTTCCCCAGATTCGGAAGAAGAAGAAGAAGAAGGAAGAAGGAGAAGAAGGGGAAGGAAGAAGGAGGAGGAAGAAAAAAAATTGCAGAAGAAGGAAGAAGAAGAAAGAAGGAAAAAAAAACATGGATGACACGTGGCGCCCAGTCATGGCGCCACGTCACAATTAACGGCAGATTTAACAGTTTGACTAACGAATGTATGAGACTGTCCCAAAATTTACACTTTAGATATGAATCTGAGACGAAAAACTTGATGTACTAAATGTTGAAAAACCACAAAACATGAGGGTAGTAAACAGTCTTTTACCTAATTTTAAAATTGCAACCATTTCCTGATTTTCATTCGAAGACCATCCCACCAAAAAAAAAAATTCATTCAAATCGGATAGTTTAATTATCCAAATGTATCAAATAAATGGACGGTTCATTATAAATATGGTACTTGATAGTCACATTATAAATATGTTACTTAGTAATCACATTGTCGCTTTGTTTCATCGTTTGGATGCACAAACAATCTCCAATTCAAATGATGTTTTTTGTAAGAATGATCTTCAAATGAAAATTAATAAATTAAACGGTTCCCCTTATAAAATTTATATGGCAATTAAACATGGTATTCAGCAATTGTGGAAAATGTGCATTCCTCTCGCTGGGGATGCAAATATATTCATTTTGAATTACCATAATTCATATTTATTGAAAGCTACTATGGCAGCGGATGAGTTTGCTTATATAGGTTATAGCTACAATTACTCTTGTTTCTAGTTTAATAATTTTCCAAATCTAGTATTGCCTAGGTTAAAGTTTGATCTGTATTGTTTTAAGATCGGTCGAGAATCCTCTTGTAATATTATTTTATTTTAGAAAGAAAAAAAAATATAGATATATAGATATATATATATATATATATATATATATATATATATATATATAATGTTTTAATCAGAGACATGGTGAGTTGAAAAAGACGTGTGCTGTTTCTTCCAACATTATAATAGCCAATAGTTATAAGGCTCATCCCTCTCTCTCTCATTCTCTCAACTATCTCTCTCTCTCTCTCTCTCTCTCTCTCTCTCTCTCTCTCTAAAAGAAACACAATTACGCCGAGAAAAAGCCATATCCATCTGCAGAGAAAGAAAGACCTTCCTTTTAGATAAAAGAGGAACTTTAGCTACCTCTCCTAAACACCTACACTCATCTACCAAAACAACAACAGCTGAATTGCCTTCTTTTCTGTGGATATTGGGGAGAAGAGTCTTCTCATCATCTGAAGAGCTGAAGCAGTAGAAAAAGAGTATATATTATGAAACCAAAGGTATGTCTGTATTTTTATCTCGATCTCTGTGTCTCTCTCTTCCTTTCTGTTTCAGATGCATGCATGTTACTTGTTTCAGTACATATATATAGCCATACAGCTAGTGAACTAGATATGTATAGCAGTTCAATCATGTTAATGTAAGCAGAAACATGTAATACATTCTGTTTGTGGATTGTGGATTTCTCAGCTAGTTCGTGTGTTTTATGGGATTTTTGTAAATTTGTAAGTTCAAAGAGCTTTTAGAGCATTTTTTTTTTTCTTTTGGAAACAGAAGACTTTAATAATTCTATCGGGAACATGAAAGGGAAACATAAAACAAATCAAGCAAAAGAATTTCCTCATCACATATATTCATCTATGTTGTGTATATAAATATATATTATGTATTATCTCTTTTTTCTTAGCCAAGGGTTTTTGTTTTCTATCTCACTCACCGCAATTGGTTGATGAATCCAGATCAATCAATGACTTATATATTATTTCCGACTTTATCTTCATTTATACACTCCTTCTTAATTTTTTTTTTTAAACTTTGATAATTGAGTAAACAAAGCATAATCAAAGCACAGACCAAATGAATGAGTGCAACCAGTCAAAATGCAGTGGAAAAATTCTTGCACTTTGAAAATCTGCTATTTTTTTTACGGAAGAAAATTAATCACATAGAAGTTTGTTTTATTATCAGCGGGGGAAGAAAAATTCTAGTTTGTTCCTTTTTATAGTACAATAATATATTTATTCTAAGACTTGGTCTCTTTTTAATTTGTTTAATTTAGACAATTAAGTTTCTTGTTTCTGTTTATAATATGTTCGCTAGACCAGATCTCCCAAATTTTGTGAGAATTAGTGAATGTGTGACAACTTAAAATATTTATTTTTCTTTGGACAAAGACGTAAATAGTTATATATAGATATTGCTTCATTTTCATCACCTATTTTTTATGTATCTTTAAGTTTTGAACCAATATATTATTATTATCCCAACTAAATTTAAGTCCAACGCGCATGATTTCACCTAAATGAAAATGCAAGAATTGTAATCTGTCCTCACCATATTATAAAGAGATTAAAGGATCCTAACTCTCCCTCACCCCACACCCACCTTGATTAGCATGAATATAAACCAGTTGAGTTGCATCAATAGCCACGGTGCCTTCTTTGACAAAGAAATCATGATTTACTTGTTGCTCTGCTCACTCATGACACATCATGATCATGGACCACTCTCTTAATACAATATGTTTAATTAGTGGATTTTATTTGTCGTCATTTATAATCACCAAACTGTGAATAGTGATCAACTTGATATATATAGCAAAAAGCTTATGGTCAATTGGTAATTAAGAGTATTAGAGGGAGTACAATTTTTTAGACTTGGCAAAAGGGTCGTCTTTATCGTGTCTTAACGGATCGTGTCGTATTAAATTCATTATCTTAACAGGTGACTCGATAATGACCCGACTCGTTAACATGTTGTGTCGTTTACATGTCATACCCGTTATCTTAACGGGTGACCCGATTCGTTAACGTGTAATCCAATAACGATCCGACTCATCAACGGGTTCACCCGAATCCTTTTTTTTTTTTTTCTTAACAGGTCATGCAAGAAATAGGCCTGACAATTTTTGTGAAAAAAAAAAAAAAGCTTATACATTAGTATGCGATGTTGGTGGGAGAAAAAAAAGGACACAGAGGGTGAAAAAGTATAGAATGAGGATCCTCTCCGGATTTTCTTTGTGAGGATCCCAGCGATCCTCTAATCACATTCGTTCATCGTATATTGTGCGGCCAGAAATCATTGTAAATTTTTTATTTAAAATTAAATATAAATAATATCTAACGAAAACTGGCCGTACAATGTATAATGAACGAATGTGATTGGAAAATCCCCAGGATCCTCACAATGAGGATCCGGAGAGGATCCTCATTCAAAAATTATATTGGGTAAGTGTAGTGGTAAATACTCCACTAAAGCTTAGCATTTTCAATGAGTGTATCTTTTTATTTTGTTTAATGTGCGTATGTAGGGTAGGTGTTGTATTTTTTTTATACTACATTTGTAGTTATGAACTATATTCTTGATCGATGATGTTTCTCATTCTATTTTATTAATGAAATATTTTTTACCTTAAAAATATGAGCTTCCTAAAGAAAATATTCTTGTAGTAAAATAAAATTAAAAAAAAACCTAAACAATTATAAATTTTCTATAAAACACTTCGATCTCCTTTTTGTTTCAGGGGTATTTTGATTTAGACCATGAAACTACTTTTGTGTTTTTTATAATTCGGGGGGTCCGAGTCTGAGGAACAGAAAAAACAAAAAAAATGCCAAACCAAAAAACCAGGGTAGGTCCATGTTGGTTGTTTTAAATTCTGGTTTAGTAGCATGAAACTGTGTTGCCCTTTCCCACGGGAGGATTCATTGAATCTTTGATTTCGGACCAGAACTTAGTCTTTACTCCTTGTTCTTATACTAGGTATTATTAATTATTTTCTTTTATAAAACGCATTAACTCCAATGAATAAATTGACGAGAAAAAATTACTATTCGATGAACAAAACTATATATCAACACTGCTTCCACGGTGATTTGTGATGTGTATATATATATATAAAAATTAGGCATTGTAAATTTGATTTATATTATACTATTGTCATAATGGTGTAAATTTGACAAGAGTAAGTTTTATACATTAAATATTGGACATGTCTACTTTTTCTTTTTCTCTAGTCGATATAGATTTAGATTACACAATAGGATAGTGATAAAAAAGGGCGTGAAAAGCACCTTTGTAATAATTTAGTTGTGAATTTGTTATATACATAAACAAACTTTGATACCTCTTACTTAGAAGTAAAAAAAAGTATCATTAAACTCTAATACTAATTGAATGCCCATCAATTCGATACACAACTTAAAACTATCCAAACTATACAATGACAACTATGTTCCCATTTCTTTTGTTCCACTAACTTACAACATTTGACAAGCTAACGTAATCTTTCCTTCTTCCTTTCATCTCTAGGGTAGCTGGGTAGGTATGGACCTCATGAAAAATCACACGTTTTCCTTTTTGTGTGGATAAGATGATGGGGTTCCTTCTAATTTTGGCAAAGTGACAAACGACTTTTACCGACTTGTACTTTGTGCTTCACCCATTGGGAACTTTGTGTGTATCCGAAAATGTAGTTGTGTGGCTCCGCTTGTACATCTGTTTGTTTGCCCATAATTTTAGATGAACTCTCTTAAATCAACTCCACCCTTTTGAGTATTTTTACCAGTCGGGCAATTAGGTTAAGTTGTTCTTCACCCAAAAAAAAAGACTCCTTTAATAGTCCATAAAACGGGAGGTAGGGCTGGTTTGGTATTGTTGTGCTTTGAAAAAAAGTTGTTGTGAGAATAAGCGGCTGTGCTGTGAAGCGGCTGTGAAATAAATCAGCAGAGTGTTTGGTAAACTTTTTTGTAAAAGTGCTTTTGGAAAGAAAAAAAAAAGCAGTCTGATAGTGGGTCTTTTCATTAAATGAGCACTGTAGCTCCGTGTGCTTTGAAAAAAAAAGTCAGTTTTCCAAAGCTGCAAATAACAACTTCAGCTTTTTCCTTTGATTTCAGCTTATTCTCACAGCAACTTCCAAAATAAGCCTTTTTTTTTAGTTTACCAAACACCTAAAACCCTCACAGTTTTTTTTCATGGGTATTTTTTTTTTAAGCACCTCACTCCCAAACCACCCCGTAGGTGGGTTCAAGGCAGTTGTAAGGGTAGCTGCCCTTTCGACAATTTCAAGGGCAGATGCGCCTTCAACAATTGAAAGGGCTTGCGCCCTGCTTGAAGCCTAGCAAACAGGGGCCCCCCTCACGTGAAGCCCAAATTTGTCAAACCCGTAAGCTATTCAGAGCACTTCTAGCCCAACAAATATCTGTAGGGGTTAGTTGATTTAATCCCATCCCCCCTCCCCAAAAAAAAACCACTCCAGCCCGTCCAATTCATTGAGCCCAGTTGCTCACCAGCCCGTCCAATTCACTGAGCCCAGTTGCTCACCCAATGGATAATTGATTGGCCCAGCCCCCGGAGCAATGATGCAAGGCTGACGTCATGGTGATGTCCGCCACTGTTAAACAATTATAAAAATAATAAATATTATAAAAGATTAATTAAAATACAAAAACTATAAAAATATAATAATAAATTAATTTAAAATATAATAAAAAATTATAATTCTTTTCTATAAATACCTAACTATGTTCTTCCACCTCACATCACATTTCAATATTTCAAATACTTTCAAACAATTTTTTATTTTTATCCAAAATTAAAAATAAAATTAAAATTATTTGTTATTATTTTATAAAAATAATATTTTAATACGAATTGCTTGGGTCATTTAGTTTAGAAGTGTATATGCACTTGGACAGTTATTATTCATTAAAGACAATTACTATTCACTTGAGGAATTGAATTGTCAATTGCCCAATGGGCTTTTTAGGGGTCGAAGTGCTCTCACCAGCTCTCCCAGTTCACCACCCACGTGGCTCTTTTTGAGCCTTTGATTTCAACAAAAAACTTCAAAAATTTAACAACTAGTATTAATCCAACTCTAAAAAGTTAAAAATTCATAAAACTATCAAAAAGTTAAAAAAAAACTTACAAAGTTCACACTTTAAAAATCTTACAAAGTTGAACACACTTGCAAATTAAATGTTTAGAATTACCCAAAAATCTACGGCAATAATGATATGTAGGAATAAGACGACGAAAAAATTTAAAATTAAAAAAAAATATGTTTGTGAATAGTAATCACATTTGCTCTTTTCCTTCCTCCTTCCAAACTGGTTGACTTGCACAAATGCAATTACTATTTAGAGTGAAAATAAAATTGCCCTTGCCCTTCAATTGACATTGCCTCCACCAACTGGTAGACATACTCTTAAGGCAATACTTGCTCAGGTAATTGGGCAACATGCAATTATTACCTTAGAGCAAGTCCACCGCATTCAAATCCTTAGGGGATAGGCCACAAAATCCCCTTGCCCCCTCCCCCGCCCCCAACAAAAAAAGGCCTTCTACCCACACCAATCCACTAGGTTCTAGAGGAGCCCAATTTTTGCGATAGGCTCAATGCCTAGGGGCAGTGACGTAAGGCTGAAATAATGATGACGTCATCCACTATTAAAAAATTAAAAAAAATTAAAAAAATTAAAAATACAAAAAAAATATTTTTTTCCTATAAATATGTAACATATTATTCCACCTTACCACATTCCAATATTTTCAAATACTTTCAACCAATCTTTTATTATTATCCAAAATTAAAAATAAAATTATTTTTATTATTTTGTAAAAAAAATAATATCTTAATACGAATTTATAGGCTATTCAGTTCAGGAGTGGAGTTGCACTTAGGGCAGTTATTGTTCACTAAAGATAGTTATTGTTCACTAAAGACAGTTATTGTTCATAGGGGATTGAGTTGTTTATAGCCTAGGGAAGCTTTTAAGGGTGGAAATGCCCTTAGTGAACAATAATTGCCTAAGTACATCACCACCCCGTAAAAATGAATTATCTAGACAATTTTTATTAAGAAATTATATTTTTTAAAATTAATAAAAGATAATGTTAATTAATTATGTTATTTTCTACAACCTTCTTCCTTTCACTCGAAAGAGTCATCTCCCATTTTTCTCATCCTTCTTCTCCATGCTCTCTCTGAGCTCTGTACTAGCTTGGCTTCTTCTTCTTGATCTTCCTCCAAATATTCTGAGCTCTTGGCGCCCACCCTCTTCTATCTTCCTCTTCCTCCCCTTCAACTCCTTTCACCGCCTTTGTCGTTGAAATTGACGAAATCATGATTCTAATTCCGACTCCGAGCTCTTGGCCACCACTTCCTCTTGGAATTATACTCCAACTGTTTTCAACTTCTTGGCAGCTTAAAGAGCATCGCCGAAATTGCTTTTCTACCTTTTCTTTTGCTTTGTCGCGACCCCCGCCTTCTCTTTTGTGGTCTTGTTCGTCGGCTTCCGTAGATGATGTTATGCTGACGTCAAACCACTCGGGTAAAAGCTTGGGCTAAAATTGCATGATGGACCAGTCGAGCGAGCTGAGGCCCACTTAGTTGCCTGACTAATATGAATGGGCTAAAGCACTTTCTTCTAGTTTTGGGCAAGAATCACCCATTTGTCCGACTAATCTATTTGGGGTGGGGTTGCTCTTAGAGCAGTTCTACCCCTCAAGGCAATTGTCAGCTAATTATGCAATAGACAATTATCTCCTTAGAACTTCGTCAAATGAACCCAGGCTATTATTATAAAAAAAAATAATAATAATTATCTATTACTAATTTTTTTTTTTTTTTTTTTTTTTTTTTTTTTTTTACAAATCAGGAACCATTTTTTGTCTCCCTTATCTTTATCTCCCTCATTTCTCCATCTCATTCCTCCTATTTCCAACTGTTCTCCATCGCACTCTTCCTCCCTTCTCCCTCTCGAAACCCAAATCAAATCTCGTTCTCCGTATTGTCTCACTACAATTCTCTAAACTCGATTCTCACTCTAAAACTATCTTTCTCTCTCTCATCAACAATGGCAGACCGTCCTCATCCACACCAAATCTAAGTCCTCCTCGTGTAGTAGCGCTACAGCGAGCATAGTTACGGTGAACATAACGGGCTTTGCTAATGGAAAGATGCAACAACATAATAGTGGCCCCTTAACTGGCCAAGTTCTGTTATTGCTCGTTTGCGTGGGCTTTTGATAGTGGTTGACATCGTGCTGATGTCAACATGACGTCAGATGGTACAGGCGCAAATCGGGCTAGGATAGCCTAGTTGGGCAGTCCAATAGTGTAGGGCCCAATGGTTGCCCAATTGTTTGTCTTGGGCTGTAGTTAGGTTTTCTATTTTTTGGGCAATAATTGCCCCATTTTCCCAACCAAAAGGAAAGGGTTGGACTTGGTCTTATTTAGGACTCTTGTGGAGGATCCTTTCAAATAAATTTTGTGTATATACTACATATCATCATATTACAAAATTGTTAGGAATATCACATTTTGGTACCAAATTGATATATGATCTCATGTGACAAATGATATATGCATGTTACCGTCAATTAATGAATATATTTGATTGGATGTTGATTGTATAACATCACTTGCCATATGAGACGATACAACTAAACATCAAAGACGCACAAAAAAACACCCACTCACAACTTCTCACACATCCGACCTCCTCACACATATAGTCCTTCATGGCCTCCCCAAACCAATACACTTCTTCAACCTCCCCTCACCTTTTTCGACAGAGGTGCCAACGTCGAAGGTCTTAACCAGGCTAGAGAAACTTAGATCAATGATCTCCCTTAGAAGATCAAAGGTCTTAACCACCGAGCCAACTTTTAACTTGTGATATTGAAACGTAACTAATATATTTATGATGTGTTTGTTGTACCGGACTATTTCGGATTGGACTAGTTTTAGGGACTAAACGTGATTGGCTTGGCATGGACTAAGTAGTATAAGAATAATGGAACGTTTGGTGCAATACCGGGCTACCACGAATTAAATTATTTTTTAAATCCAGATATTTTCACACTTTCTAATTCTCTCTCTCTCTCCACATTTCCTTTCTTTCTTCGCAATTCGCACCAAACATACTCTCCCCTATCTCCACCTTCCTTTCTTTCTTCGCACCAGACAAAAATAATTTTCAGACTGTGACTGTGAGACAGGCTGGACCACCATTTAGCATGAACTGGAAGTGTGGAGGCCACGACCGACGAAGAAAATCAAGGGGACGAGTAGTGCAGCGTAGCGCAAAGAAAATAAGAATCACAAGAGGGAATCGAGATTCAAATACTTGGTTTCTGTAGGTATTCGACAACGATTTCACAAAGTTGTCGCTACTCTGCTGAAAACAATGAGATTTTTATTTTTTTGTTAGATGGTTTGTTGATGTTGACACTCTCTTTGATATGGTTTCCCTCATTGGATTTGAGATTTAGGCAGGGGTCTACGTCTACGCATGGGTGGGGATCGGAATTGCAGATGGCAAGCCTTATTTTTTAGATTTAGGTGGTGGGTGGGGCTAGATATGGGCATGGGCAGGGATAGTTGCAAACGAAGACGCATGCGTGCGGAAGTTGGAAACAGGATTAACAATCATTTGGGGGGGGGAGACTAAGACCACTTAGGCCATCTCTAACCGATTTGGCCAGATGGCCATAGGGCTAAAAATAGCCGGAAATGACACGAAAACCGTCTCCAATCGAGGGCTTGTCAAA